GCGCGCTGGGCCATGGCGGTGGCCGCGTTGTGGTGCATCTGCTGGGAGGTGATGTAGTCGTTGATGATGGTCTGCCGGTTCTCCAGCGCCGCCGTTTCGGGGTAGCCGCGGATGAGGTAGGGCGGGTACAGGTGCGGGTATGTGGGGTTCGGGGCCAGATGCCGGGGCAGGTAATAGGCAGCGGCTGCTGGGAGAGGGACACGGGGTCAGAGGTCAGACACCCCGCCTGTCCTCGGGCCCCCCACGCCCGCACCCTGACTGCGTCGCCCCAAACACCCCAGGAGAGAACTGAGGCCTCTAAGGAGAGAGACAGTTGCTCCCCAAAACACATGGGGGGGGGCTCTTGGTGACGGTGTTCTCTGGGTTGAAGTTCTCCCAGCTACAGGGCGTGGGAAATGTGGGTCCCCGAAACACCGAGGGGGGCACCCAGAGATTCGGGGAACGCCCACTGGAGCTTCCTGAGATCGTTTGTGACTTTTTTTTGTTAATCCTCACCCGAGGATATTTTTCCACTGATTTTTAGGGAGAGTGGAAGGGAGAGGGAGAGACAGAGAGAAACTTAGGTGTGAGAGAAACACATTGATGGGTTGCCTCCTGCACGCGCCCCAACCAGGGCCGGGGCTGGGAGGAGCCTGCAACCAAGTACGTGCCCTTGACCGGAATCGAACCCGGGACCCTTCGGTCCGCAGGCCGACGCGCTATCCACTGAGCCACACCGGCCAGGGCTGTTTGCGATGTTAAAGGCGCTGACCAGTCCCTCGGGGAAAGCAAACCACTGGGAAACGTCGACCCAGCCTGTCCCTCAGGCGCTGCAGACAAACCCCAACCAGGCAATCCCCACGCTGCACCGTCAGGCCTCCCCAGCTCTAAGCCTCCGTTTCCCCAAACAGCAGAGCCTCGCTGATGTACGAGGAGCCACACGAACGGGGCCCCCACCCCGGCTTCGGGGCCTGTGCGCCCCGGACAGTCACCTGCATCCAGGGGGATCCCTCGGGGGATGGAGGTGGGGTCGAAGGCCAGCGGGATGTGGCCGCGGTACAGGTCCACACCGCTCACGCCCCGGAGGATGTGCTCGTAGGGCGAGAGGGGGTGGGGGTGGTGCTCGGGCACGGCGCTGTGCGGGGACTTGGCGATCTCGCGGGGCGTGGACGTCAGCTTCCGGTCCTGGGACGCCTTGCTGGACGAGTGGCTGCCTGTGGACCCAGAGCGGGGATGGCATCAGGCCCCTGTGCTCCTGGCCCCCCAGCCCCCCACCCTGGCCCCGAGGCTGGTGTTCATGGGGGGTGGGGGGAGCGGGTGTCTCTAGGGCCCCAGGACCCCAGGACCCCACCCACTTATTTGCCTCTTAGTTTTTTGTTTTGTTTTGATCATTTACTCATTTGTTTCTAGTGTTTTGTGGGGTTTTTTTCGGTTCTTTTTAAAAAATATATGTTTTGACTGATTTTAGAGAGAGGAAGGGAGAGGGAGAAACTTTAATAAGAAACATCCATGGTGAGAGAGAATCACGGATCGGCTGCCTCCTGCACACCACCTACTGGGGACCGAGCCCGTAACCCAGGCCTGTGCCCCGACCGGGAATCGAACCCTGACCTCCTGGTTCATGGGTCGGTGCTCAACCCCTGAGCCACGCTGGCCGGGCTGTTTTATTTTAGTTCTTAAAAAAAAAAAAAAATCAGCATGCGTTTGTTCCCTTGTTTCATTCACTCAATCCATCGAACAAAAATACTCCGGGAGCCCTGGGCAGCCAGCGCTGTCCTGACAAACAGTCATCACGTGAGAACTGCAGCGCAACAGGCGCTCGGAAGACAACGGAGACGGGGACGAACGGGACCAGAATGGGCGAGCAGCCACCCTGAGGAGGTGGCCTTTGGGCAGGACCTGAGGGAGGACAGGAAGCCAGTCGGGTAAAGACCTGGAGGTGGGGCACGGCACGTGCCAAGGCCCTGGGAGCAGAGAGGGGCCCGCCTGGCTGAGCCTGGGCGGAACAGTCGGCGGGAGGGCCGAGCCTCAGGCTCCCGAGGCCGGAGGCCGGACGGACAAGGCCAGCCTTCCTCTGGGAGCCGAGAGAGGTCCCGGAGGGATGTGCTTCAGCAGGGGGTGGGGCTTAGTGCGAATCTGGCTGCTGTCTGAGGAGCAGGCGGGGAATGGTGGTGGGGGAGGCGGGGTTCCTGAGCCGGATCTGGGGC